CATATCAATGTGTATCTAAACTGAAAGTAAAATGATTTTGCTTTTTGATTTAATCTTAAGATATTTTAAAAATATGCATACAGAAGTGGTATAAAAGTAGGAATTCCTTTAGATCTCACTGAAAACTCTGATTTTGATTTCTCTGTATAGACATATTTAGCATACAATGCAATATACATTTCTAGTAATATTGTCAGACCTGTATATGCTAATTAAATATAAACTATAATATCAATTGAAAACCAAATGCTGTCTGCTCCTGCTGCCTAAAATGATCAACATATAGGCCACTTCCTATAATTTCTCAGTTCAACAAACCAGTCTTATATGTGCATTTAATGCTGGGGTCATATCTCTTAGTTATCTTTGAAGCCCTGATGACCAAAACAAGACCTGAGATCAAATGCTCTGATTTCAAGAAGACATACAAACAGCAGTAGTGAAGATGGCGTGCACACACACACGGAGTACCCTGAAATAGCTCACTGGCCCTTTAACACTGTAGGTATTTATAGCAGTAACAGGATCATGTCTCCCACTGCAGCTGCTCTAAAGCACAGCCATGTGGACATTATGTAACACTCCACATTTTATGCTCCTCCCATTCATGCTGGCAGGAAGTGAAATGTAGAACTGCAACTGGAGGGCAAAAGAAAGCTCGCACACCTGGATCTTTTAGGCCACAGAAACATCCACTGCTGCTAAAACAAGGTAGGGAAATTTGCTCCTCCAGCAGCTGTTTTCTATATCCTCTCGAGCTTTCATGTTTAGAAAACTGTACAGACGGCAGTTGTTGTTTTTTTTTTGTGTCAAACTCTGCTGATTACACACGTTTATTACGTGTATTGTAAAAAAGTAAGATGTGATTACACACGTTGTTTATTACGTGTATTGTAAAAAAGTAAGCTGTGATTAAGTATTATGCAGTGAAACATTTTGTTCATACTGATAGGTTCTCTGTAGGCCTGCTGGGCGATGGCTGCTCTCCGCGCTTGTCTCACT